TGTCGTAGATTTCCTCAAAATTCGAAGTGTGAACAATGTGATAGCCTTGTAGACACTGAAGTGTCGTTGTGCAGAAGAATTGTGGAACGTGCCCATCTTGAGGAACAAGTACTGCAAAAGCTGTTGGTAAGTAGGTAAGTGAGACATACTGAAATTCGGGATGAATTAGTTGTGGTTGGGTGAAGAAAAACTTTTGGGTGGAAATTTTAGGCCGAACATTTTTGAACACTACTGTGTATGAACTGCGCCTCCGAGGGAGCTTCGATAGGAGGATCACTTCATGACAATAGAAAAGTACACTGATATCAGCAAAGACGACGAATTTACTCAGCCGAACAGAGAGGTTAGCTTAGTGTCCATGATTGTCGTAAGGGCAGAGACCTGACTTTGGTCTATCTCCACTTACGGCTTTCGTACAGGGGTGCCTTTGAACCCATTTATTCCCTGATAACTTCTTTCAGTTCTATTTCGTGACTCACAGAAAAGCTCAACGTCCTAGTTTCCTGGGTGTATCTCGCTCCGCGCGACCTCTTAGATACCATTATTTACTAGGGAGTCGCTACCTCTTTGATAGTATTATATGTGAGGGTCGCTTAACCCCCTTGATAGCATTATTTACTAGGCACTCGTTTAGACTCTCCTGGTTACGCTTGAACTCTATTCTTTGTGACTTGTATTTGCTCCCCCGTATCAGCTCTTGGTCCCTATAAAAGGGGGGTGCCCGCTGATACGGGGCGCATTCGCCAGGAGTCGGTTCGAATAAACCTTAACAGAACCAGCTCTTTCTAGCACAAACAAAAGAACCCCCTGATCGGGACAACTCTACACGATCTCAACAAGCGCCCCGATCGGGACAGTGTGAGTTGGAGAAACAAATTACCTTTAGGCAGAAGTGACGTAACCTATATGATGGGATCTGAAATGGACGCGACCTCCTCGAAGACTGTGCGCCTCTCGGTGAGCTTTATCCGCAAATCTCCCGATAATGGCAGTGTTTGATTTTCCGCACATCCCAAGAACATATCTGGTTTCTGATTGCTTCTATCATTCTGCAGAATTGTGTGTGTGGTCAGCGTTGTCGCTTTTAGTGAAATAGCCCAAACAATTATGTTCTACTACTTACTAGCGCCACTTCATCTTCGGAAGCTGTGAGAAACGTGTTACCGAGATGGTTGTTGCGAAACTCCTCCGATGGTCCTTCGTGTTCAGTCTTACACCACTGGTGATGCTGTATGCTTCCTGCCAGCATTGAAATGGTAGGTTCTCCTAGCCCAGGACGCGTATTCGACTAGTTTTGAAATTCAGGCGCTTCCGTGAAACCTTTACGCCACAGGCAGCTGCATACCGATCGCTCCGTCCTCGGTGCTCTGCCGACTGAAACAGTGACCATATCCGTCATGACTGAAGTATCCCGTGCTCCTGGAACTCGCTTGGAACGGCGTTGTGCGTATTCCTAAAGTAACACAGGAGGGAGCAGATCAATCATTCATGAGCGAAGAGCTTGCAAGACTTGTTCAACTGGAGAACGAGTACTATGATGGAGAGTCAACGCATTTGGAGGTCATACACTGGAGAAGATTCCCTTAGAGATTCCCACTGGTTCAGCCCGCACTGTCTACATCGTGGGGCATCTCGGGGAATCACGTCTCATAAGAGAAAAACAGTTCCCAGTAGAGCAACGCCATGTTGCTCGTCAGTCGACATCATAAACGAAACTTGCGTCCCAGAAATCCTGGTAGAACCACTGATTCTTCGTACACTATAGCGCCGATTGAAAGGCATGCCAGCCGAAGCATTACCAGCAGTTTGTGGACTGTATTCTCACGAGGAGCAGTACCCCCTTCCCCCGCCACCTCCATTAACCAGACAGCAAACGATAAACAGGCAATCGCAGATAAGCGTCAGCTCCTATTTGTCAGCCGAAAGCGAGGGAATTGTGAATGGTTTTTTTCTTTGGTTTCTCGGGTCCTTCCGCCGACGCGGTTTTCTTCCGGCGTTCAAAGAATTTTCAAAGCGAAAGTTCGTCAACGCGTCTCACGGTGAGACCTGGGGTGACACAAGATAGGTCAGCAGTGATCAATGGGAACCTTCCAAGTGCATCCACCAAGCCAAACTTTGCTTGAAATGTTTTTTGCCTGTTTCTATACAGATTACCAGATTTCAAGATCTACAACATACACATTTTTACACATTACAGATCTATACAGATTCACCAGATTCAAGCAGGCTTTCAGCGGGTCTATTTTAGAATGGTTGCTTGTAAAAATCGCTGCTTTAAGGCAAAAGGCACAAAAACTTGGTATTACTCGAATATGTAGCAGGGGTGCTATACAGTTGAGAAAAATGACGTAAAAGCGAAGATCCACGGCTAAAATCTGCGGAAATCCTTTGTTCTGCACGCATTTGGTGAACATCTTTAGACGGGTTTTCCATTGGCATGGTGCCAAAAACCGCTTTTATAGACAGGAGTGCATCGCTATGTAACCATGCATTCATGAAGCAACGCTTCATATCAATTGTACTTGTAAATGAAGCTGTAAGAATACTGGCGTCGATGTTATTGTGCGGCCAGTGGTGAGCGGGCGGTTGCGGTAGGCGTCTGGGTCGAGATGTTGCACCTGGGAGCTATAACGGTGCCCTTGCTTGGAAAAGGCGATACGCAGCGCTTGAAGGGATACAAGGTTTGTTGTGCTAGGCGTAATAGACCCTGTACGCCCAGTCGATTTAGCCTGATAGTTGCCTTTGGAGTGACTGCCACCTTCACCTTATGAGCAGAAGCCCTAGTCGCACAAGGTCGCGTGATCTGCAACCACCATCCATGACTACTTTTGCGACTCGAACGCGCGATAAAAGCTCAACGGCTTAGCGAACGTAGCCTTGCTTCGCCTCTGTAAGCTGGATCCGTCCAAAACATTTCGCTCTATCATTACAATATCCGGTGGTGTGTCGAGCATCCTACGTTTTCCGCCATGAAAGGTCTGTCCTCTCTTCTCGCTCGACTTTTCTGCTGCACTCGCTACAAGGCTCACGCCAGAGCCGGCAGGATTCCTCATGAAGGAGCTTTCGCCGGGCTTGATCTTCCCTTTTCTTATCTGACTATTCCTCTTTCGTGATCTGCATGCATTCTCAGTCCATACTACCCGCGCAGATGAAGCGATTAGCCCTTTAATTTCCAGCAGGTAGGAAGAGGCGGAGATTTCAAGGAAGTAATCTAGATCTCCTCTCACACTTTCTAGTTTGTTTGACACTGTGGTACTGATCGTGCAATAAGTAGGAATCACCCTGAGAAGTTCGCCAAGGAACGAGGAGACTCACATGTGTGGCTGCCCCTCAGCCTGTGTTGCTGCCTGTCCGAACTCTTTTGATACAGGCTCTGCTGTTCTGCTATCAGATCATCGTCATAGCGTCAGTCGAAGAGAAAAACCCGTGCGGACGCATCACTTGAGGCAGGGTACAGAATCTGATATGGATCTATCACCAGAGTTGCGGGGGGAGCGAGATGCTAAACCTCGTATAACCTGAACGAAATATATTAAGGCCAGATTTTTTTAGCATAGCTTTTCGACATATTCTCTGTTGCCTCACGGAAGTTGTTAGGGTGGAACATTTATGAAATGGCCTAACCAAACCCCCCCATTCTGACTAAGTCGTTTCGTGTCGATAGGCACATGAACGTGTTTTAATATGAGATTATTTGCAACCTACCCCACCGAGCGCCTCTTCTACTCTAGAGGTTCCGACGTCGCGGTCAGGAACCCCCGAGACGACGCTAACATCGCAAGAAACAGACTCACCAATGGTTCCACCGTTTAAGCGCGATAGGTAGTTACATTCTACACTTACCCTTTCGATCACTCACCTTCGGTCCATCCACTGACTTTGCTGCCGAGAAAGCGTATGACGCGAGAAGACGTCGCGTCTCGAGGCTATCATACGGGACCTGCGGCTGGGCTCCTTTGCCAGCAGGAGCTCAGTAACAGAGGATGCAGTACTGGCGGAGGCGTTACGAGCATGGTGCGACCCATCACCGTCTGCCATTGCCGACCATCTTGATCTCTATTGGCAGCAGAATTAACAGACGCAGTTACTAACTACCGAGAGTCTAGGGCAGGCTACTTTAGTAATTGCTTACTCCACGCTGAGCCTCTACAGGGTTTTTGGTCGTCCCTGCGTCACGCCGGTCCAAGATCAACGGTAAGCCAGCAATTCGCCCTAGCCCCGGCGATTTACCGTGCGGATTTTAGTGTATGTGGAAATCGTTTTGGGATTGTCTGAAATCGTTGAGGCGAGCAGGCGTCGGCCAACTAAATGTTTTTGATCATTTCAGCCTCTGACGAAAGCGAAGACGCCGAAACGTAGGCCTTCAATAAAGTTGCTCAATCTTATAAAGGCTAGAAGAAATACAAGAACTATATACATCATGCCAAGATCGCAAGAAAGTCGAACATGGACATTACTAACTGATCTACTGGAAGCCCATCAGAACGATATCACCCAGCCGGATCTTATTATTTCAAAGGGGACCTATCCGCTTAAACGGTGGAACCATTGGTGGAACCTTTTTCTTGCGATATACGCATCCGTCTCGGGGGTTCCTGATCCGACGTCGGAACCACTAGATGATGTGCTTGTAGGGTAGGTAGCAAATCAAGTACTTGAAACACGTTCAGGCCTCTGAAGACGCATGATTTAACCACCGTACAAACAACACAAAACGGCTGAAAACTTTTGCCGATTTTTGATGAATGGTCCACCAAACAATGCAAAGGTTGCAAGAAGATAGCAACTGAAGAATTTGAGCATACAATATCCCGGCATTAGTTGGGATCAGGATCTGGTGTGAATTATGTCTCATAGCTCTGTGCACTAGTTTGAGACCGTAATGTTCTTCTTGCTGTTTATTGAAACAGTCAATGTGAATAAAGCTTCATTTTGTACAATTCACATTTGATACAGCAATTAATTTCATGACAACATCTGCAGAAGCAACACTAAGCGCTTCACAATCTCCATCTGGAACTTTCTTCTGCCATAGTTTCCGTTCCTGTTACAGGTTGTGGTTCAGTGGCGGACTCTACTTGCGCCTTTGGTTCTGATCCTGCTTCCGGCGGTGATCCCATTCTTGATAACATGCTTGGACCAGCTCCTCCTCCTGATGGTGGAGCAAGGTCTGCTGCAGGTGGTGGTCCAAAACTACCTGGACCTCCGACAGGACCTAATCCATTTGAAGGCATTCCACCCATGGGTGAGCCACCTGCCATTCCAGGCATGCCCATAGCGCCTCCACTTCCTCCTGGACTTCCTGGAGGTCCACTTACAGCATCTCTAAAAGTGGATCCGCCGGGTAGTTCTCCTCCTGCTCTTCCTGCTCCTAATCCTCCTCCGAATCCTACTCCTGGTCCTTCGTACTGAGGATTCTGTGGATATTGCTGATATGGTGGGTATTGTGGATACGATTGTCCATAACCTGAGGGTTGGTACGGCTGATACGGGCGCCCATAACTCGAGACCGGTGGCATTGGCATATATGACGGGCTCGGTGATGGCAAATAAGACTGTATCGGTTGCTGTGGTAGATACGGCCTTCCATATCCACCTCGCTTGATCCTGAAACAAGACAGAGCAGTAAGCGAAATTTAATGAAAAGGTTTCTTAGAGTCAACACAACTATCTAGTACTTGGCTAAGAATATCCAGAGCTCCACTCACCGTGATGCAGCCGAAGCTGTGTACTGTAGAGACAAGACTAGGAGTAGTTGAAGTGTGTAGTGCATGTTTGAGAAAAGTAGCAACTGTTGGGGTTATATAGCCCATTGTGAAGATGCTGTTCTGCGAACAGGCAACGGCCGCGAAACGGTAACTGCACGAAGATCGTTCGTGGACGGTGAATGAGTCATGAAACTGGTTCTGGTCAGAAATGAGTAGTTCGGCAGAAACAATGCCTGCCCGTTTTTACGCAAATTTTTAGTCACAAAAAGTGCGCAAGTTCAAGTAAAAGAGATTCTTCAAGAACCGCTGTCACTCATGTTCCCGTTCGCTAAGTAGGAATTGATCGATGACGGTATCCGTGATTTCTTCCCTGGTTCCAGTGAGTCATCAGTCGATGAAGTTTCTTCTTCGAACTCTTTTCGAATTGACGAAAATAGCTTTATGGCCTAGATGTGTACTGAAAATGACGCTGGAAACTCATTTCACTGGTTGAAGAAACTTTATGACGATTTTAATGAGAAAGGCCATAAACGTGCCGGCCGTCCAGTTTATAATTTCTTTTGAGTCTGTTTCCAATTGAATTAAGGCGAGCAAGTTTCTACCGCTCACTGTCAGATGAAGACTCCTAGTATTATAATGAAAACTTGGCGTGTTCAGCGATCCTTTCTTCCTCCAGCATATTCGCGTAGAAGCTAGTCATGAGTCCAAATGTAGTAGAGTTCATTATTTTAAAAAAATTTATTTTGATAGTTAATTTTTCTCGCTTCATGGACGTTGTAAAGGGGGGGGGGTCGTACTTGCTCATTGTTGGGAGGGGGGGGGGTCGTATTTACTTTCTTGGCCTTCTAGAAGTGGTGGCTGACTTTTTGTCTTTTTGTCCTTTTCGTATGTACTATATACGCACTCCCCCTCCCCCTCCCCCGCTCGACGGCTCGATTCGATGAGGAAGGACAGAGGGCTGGGGGGGGGGGGTCGTACCAACTCCCAAAAAAGGGGGGTCGTACAGACTCGACTAAAATCCCCAACCAATGATGTGCCCTGCTTGAAGGGTCCAATAAAAATAATGAACTCTACTGCAAGCAAGCTGAACACTATGTATCGGCGCATTGCTCTTATATTTTTTTTCATTAATTCAAATAGCACAGATAGACACACTTGAGAACTTTGGACGATTGGGTGCTTTCATAATTTTATGCTTTGAAGATTTCTTTGGCTCTGCGATGAAGTAACCGATCTCGTCCATCACGTAGGCCATGAGCTCTTGCGTAGATCGCGATTCATTCAAACGTGCTCGGTAGATACGTTGTTACTCACAGCTGTGGCATATTGGTGTGATAGCTGTGATGTGATAGCTGGAGTGTTCGCTGCTTGTGCAGCATAACGGAAAGCGCGTACGACAACGCAATGATGTTTGGCTAGTTGTCCTCATAACTACTAAAATTGCCAAGCTGCTAACCTTCCGAGCGGAATGTCGTGACCGACGTCATGAAGAATGACGTAGCGAATATAGGGGGAGCGGAGGCGCGAGATATTAGGTTGTCCCAAAAGTTCGTGACCATTTTTTGAATCTCGTATCAGATCTTTCCGCAGCCATTTCGAGATCCAGTTATGTGGTCTATGGGAAGTGTGTGAGGTAAGCATTCCACAGCTTCTTCACCGTCCCTCGCAGTCGCTGTTCTCATATGAAAAACGGTAATTGAAATTCATCATTTTCGACACACTTCGCTATATGAATCTCCACCAAGCCACAACGTGGTTGGAGCCACAAGCGGCATTTCTCTGAGTTAGGTCCTGATGGTACCTTCCACAGTACGGCGTTGAAATGGCCCGATCGCTTTCGCTTGAGTGACTTCTGCCTGGGAGAAAAACTTCGTCCAGGGAGGCCACCTGCCTTGGATTTGGACCTACTGTGTTCCTTGATTAAAACCAATTCGTACAAATCAACTCGCTATCTAGTCCTTACACTTGACTGGTCCAAAAGCACAAATGACAGAGGGCCTCGCTCTCTTAAAAAAGTATTGAAGTTCGGTCAAAATTTTCCTCATGAGTTGGCCATACTCCAAGGGGAGCGCATGTGGGTACTGTTTTCTCTCACGCTTCCACCATACGGGCTGAATGAACAGCGTTGTAATCGGATATGGAGTAGTGTCTCTAGGGCCGGAGGCGCCAGTGGCCAGATCCCCCAGAAAGGGCAGAACCGTCGCGCAATCCTATCAATCCAGTAGGGCGGTGAGACCGTGTATGTGGTGGGGTTTCTTTCTCTCTTCCTCGAAGGGAATTTCTTCTTCTCAGCGCGGTAACCAGCGAACCAACCCTTCTGTAATCAACGGCAGAGAGGGGATGAAAATCTCACCATTTGGTCCCACGACCCAGCAATACCCTTCTTTTGCGATACCTTTTCCCATCCTTATTGGTGAGTGTTTTGAACCGTCCATCGTCTTCAGGAACTGAAATCACCTCGAACTTCTCAAATGTAACATTTCTGGCCAAGACATGCCCAGGTTCCAAGATGACCGAAGCTGAGAACATTTTGAATTCATACAGCCAGCATGTTCGCAAACAAATTCTTCTCGCTAAAAGTTTATTGCTTTTCACAGCCATTATTCTGTTTATCT